TTTTTTTTACGGTTTCTAGTTTCCTTTGTTTCAGCCCCTCCCGTTTTCCCAATTTGGTCAAGACTCAACGGCTCACGAACGGGGAAGGGAGAAAACAAAAAAAAAGAACTAAAAGCAAACAAATAAAAAAGAACTTACCTACAACTGCTGCATACCCGCATGTTCTCGGGGTAGATTCATTCTGTCTGCCCATCCTTAGATGGGTTGTCGGGGTTCCAACCCCCTGATGAGTCGGTGCAAGTCCAACGAAACAGCCAGGCACAGTCACCTTCCCCCTTTTTTGTCCCGAACATAGCCGCTTTGTGGCGGCAAATTCCTTCGACTTTGCTCATCTTATCGTGGGAGAGCCCAAAGGCCACCCACAGTTGGAAACTTACCTGTTGCGCTCGTCGTTGAAGCAGCCAGGTAAGCCAGACCCCCCCCCCCCCACCTTACTCCCTCTCTGTCTTAGTTTTGACAGTGTACATGTCCCAGTTTTAGGGACAGATTCGTTTGCTTGGCCCATTTTTTCGAAGAAAACAGTATGGGGCCAACGACACGGACGAAGCCTCAACCCGTTCGTTGAAACGAATAGGGCACCCAACGACAACAAAAAAAAGAAAAGAATCTAAAATAAATATAAAGCAAATCTAAGAAAAATTTTAGAAAAAAAAAAAAACAAAAAAATAACTTACCTCAACTAAAAACGGCTGCCCGAACGGCTGCCCGTTTTCTTCCTCTGGGACACTAAGTCCCTTTTTCTTCTAGTGGTGCCATCTGGCGCTGTAGTTAGTTTGGATCTTTATTTTTATTTTTTTTTAGGAATGTCGTTGGCATAAGCCAGCGGCCATTGTTGGTTGAGCGAGCTAAGCTGGCATTCCCCTCCTCTTCCGATACTGGGACCCGAGTTCGATCCTCACAGGGATCGGAAAAAAAAATTTGGACCATTTCTCAATTTATGCGTGACATCCTTGAAAGCGCAAGGGCCATGCTCAATCTCGCGCGGCCTATCTCGGCCGTGTGATCTCTGCGATCGCACGGTCGAGATGGACCGCGCCGTCTATGAGTGAGGGCTGCTCCAAAAGGAGCTAGCCCGGTAGGTTGCGCATAGTTAGGTTTGATCCCTGTACCTGCAGGGCGAAAGTCTGGCGTCATATCCTACTGGCTAGCTCCTATCACGATAGTGATAGGAGCTGCTCTTCTATATGAAGAGCTCAGCCTTCTCCTTCCAGCCTGCCTGTGGCCTTGCAGGCATTACCTGTCTGTGGCCTAGCTATACCGGTTAACCATGTGACCGCGGCTTCACTGACCATCAAACCGGGTAGGCCTCAGCATCGACCTATCAACCCCCAGGCTCGAAGTCGAGCCCCGCGGCCCCAGGAAATAAAAACAAAAACTTCCTATTCCTCCTATGTCGCGGCCCTATACCCGACGCAACCCTCTTTTTAGCCCATTTAGGCCCTGAATCGCGCGGCTTGGCAGCCGCACAACAATATCATAGGTAGGATAGGTTTAATTTTAGCATTCCCTTATCCGCACGTTCATGCGGCTTCGACAAAAACGAAGCATTGCCGTTCATAGCCGTTACCCCCGGACGCCACACGCGTCCGGACTATAGTCTGAAAACTTTTTGTTTCTCAGTCATAGGTCAGGTCTCAATAAATGTTTTGGCAAACATTAGTCTCATCAAGTCCTTCAATTCAACGAGAAGGTCAGATAACGTCCGACGTTGAAAAACTCCGGCAAATACCCTTGTTAGGGTTTTTGCCCCGACAGCATTCCTAGGCCCCATTGAACGATGTCCCCGTCGTTCACCCTATATCAATCATTAGTATTGGGCTCTCTGGATTCTTACGGAACTTCTCTCGAAAAATGGCAACAAAATCTCTTTCAATCGAAAATAATATGAAGCTTATAACAAAAATCCGCGTCATTTCCTCGGTAGTCTAAAATTCAATCATCTTTGATTGGAATGGTACCAGACATAGCCTCTGGGAAGCCTTTCACCAAAACCTGAATTTTATACCGGTTCAAGTTCCGGAATCACTAAAATATCCAAGGAACTTTGTCTAAATGGCACCAGCATCATCCCACTGGCGGCAACTCTAAACATCTTTTAGTCTCTCAGAATGGTACTGGGAAAGCTTCCGGGTAGCCTTCTAAACCCCAGTTGGTTAATGTATTCATTTATCTATAAAAATCAGGTTTAACCCCTTGACGGGTCTTTGAGAATAAATAACCTCTTGGGCGGCCCAGACAGAATCTGAACCAACCATTCATGAGAGAAACCATTCATCGAAAGTCCTTGTCCAGGTTTTGTATCCCACTCCAATTACGAGTTATCACACAGAATACTTTTCTTGCATGCCTTGTGATATGCGTCAAGGAGTGTGTAGTCCTCAAGGGATAACATCTCGACGTCAAGCCCCGCTTTATACTTGAGCCTCACCACATTCCCTCCGATTTCAGTGTCATGTTTTTGCTGGTATCCTACTAGTAAGGTTGAACTACCCCTTCTCTATGATCTAGGCTGGTCAGATCCAACCATAGAGGTGAGGCGACCCCACCCGTCACAAGGCCAAGGTGACCACTCCTTTCCCCATGGCGAGCGACAGTTGTCACCCTCACAAGCAAGATTCCAACAATCACAATAATACCTTCCTCCCTTTCAATGATAGTGTAGCTACCCTCCTTGAAAAGGAAAAAGTGACAACATCCCACTTTGGACCAGGAACAAAGTTCCGTCGCAGGCCTCACTACTATCTATGGAGCTCACTGCATCAGGACTAATCATAACATGATAACTAACACAAAACCAAGTCATAAGGCAAGATAAGTAATTGAATCACACGTCTGACGGATAACACGCAGGCATATGACCCAAGTATACATCATCTCCTTAGACTTGTACTTACAAAATCTCACATTCATAACCAAATACACAAAGTTTCACAATCATATCAGAATTTCATCAAGACATGATAACAACTAAACACTCGTTATAGCGAAATGATCAAGAACACGATTCACAGTAAATATCACAAATATTTTCAATCGAACAATTTTCATTCACCCTCTACTCAAAAAAACTCGTTTAAAGTTGAAATCTATACTAATTATTTAACAAAATCACATGGATTCAATCACTAATACTCATCAAACATTACGAAAGAAGTCAACAATAATGACTGAAATTACAAGAACTCTAAAATAAAGCCTTTAATATTCTCCACATCATACCAAATTTGTACAAGGTGAGTATATGACCAAGTTAATATATGATGAAAACAATGTAAATGGCATGTAAGCGAAAATGTATCATGAAGACTTATTAAAATTAATCTTTCACATTCCAGCCTTCCTCAAAATCTCAAATATTGATCAAACTATAATCCCAAGTACTCGTAAAATAGAACTGATGGTCTCTGAGAAACCTTCTAACCTCAAAACTAAATGAATCTTGATACAGCAACATGTTGGGATACCGATGGGGAAAAGTAGCAGCCCCTCGCTAGCATGTATCTTGTGCGCTTTCAGTGAGAATGTCCTTCTGCGGAGTTTGGGGAAGGATAGGTGTCTTGTCAAAGAGATCAGACTTATTGATGATGTGTCCCTGTTCATTTGGTGTCGAAGAAGACATGGACAAGCACGAAATGACAGAATCTTACGAAATTTTTTGAATGCATATGATGATCGACTGATCCTCAAAAGGACAGATGAGGATGAGGGGGAATGGGATTTCCTCGGCACGAAGATGAAAATCAGTAGCAACGAAGTAAGGTGCTATTGTTATCCAAAGAATTTTGATAATGTCTGGAATGAGGAGGATTTCTCCTTTCGCACGATACAAGACTTTGACTCGTACTCGACTACCAGACAAAAGAAGACGATCATTACCTGCACTCTACATAGAATTCAGAGGATGACGACCGACGATGAGTTAGTGGGACTGAGTCTACTAACCCTGAAGAGGCAATTGCGTTTGCAGAAGTACCCGGCCTGGATTTTCAATAAGTGCTTGTGGAAATTTGTGCAGACAAAAGCCCCGTCATGGAAAAAATGGGGCAGGAGATTTGGGAGTTGGTAGGAATTGGGTTTTAGCCAGTGTTTTGAATAAGCCAGGAGACGGGCCTCGAACCGGCGACCTGTAATAGTTTAGGGGGTGGTTTTTGTAAAGGAGACAGAGAGTCAGTTCCGGAGGAACTGGTCTCGAACCGGGGTTTCCTGTTTGCTAGATGGACTAGTCGCAGTGAATAGCCGGTACAGAATAATCGGGAAGTATCGCGAGAAAGTAACGGGCTGGAGCAAGCGACCTGGGACGGGCTAGGTGACTTAGGGTAGGTAGGAGTGGTGTGGCCGGCAGGGTAGTGCAATGATGAGATAGTAGGATATAAATAAGATAGGAGTTCCTTCCTAAAACATCTCGAACCCCCCCTGACGAGGCCGCTTACTGGCAGCGGCTGAAACTAGTAGGGGATTGCCAGTTTCGACTCGCTCTCCAGGTCTTTCACTTAGTGTTTCGCGGCGGGAGGAGTTTGAGTTACCGTGTATGGCTGCCACGGCTGCCATGCACTGGTGGATCTCGGTGTGTAACTCTGTTCTTCTGGAGATCGTGTTCTTCGAGACTGTTTCTCACATATTTGTCGTCAGTAATGGCGATTATGTGTCGCGTTTGAGTGTGTGATTGGTGACTTCTCTTTCGAGTGTGTTGTTGATGACCTCTCTTACTTACCACTTGGTATCGGCAGCGGCAACCGGCAGGGAGTCTTCACCTGCGCAGAAGGTGGCCCTGTTTTAAGACGTAAGTACGTCAACAAGGAGCAAGTAGTATCCGTCGGAGTTGTCGAAGAAATTTAGTGAGGGTGTTAATATGAATACCGGCGGCAATCCCGATCGACGAAGCGACGGAGGAAATGGAGGAGGGGGTGGAAACTGGAACGGTGATGGTGGGTTTGGCGGTAATGGAGGGGGAAATGGAAATTGGAGCGGCGGCGGGCCAAGCAGCAGCAACGGAGGTGGGAATGGGGGTTGGAATGGAGGTAACTAGAACGCTGGGAATTGGAACGATGGAGGCGGAAACGAAAATGGTTGGAACAACGGAGGGAGTGCTGGTTGGAATATGAGCAATGGTGGGAGTAACGGCGAAGGTAATAACTGGAACCCAGGAGGAATTGGAACGGAGGAGGACGAAACAATGGTGGGGGAGGAGGCAATTGGAACAATGGTTCCAATAATGGAGGTGGTGATTGGAAACGTTCGGCGAAGTGTTACAACTGTAACCAATTTGGAGACATCAGTCGAGAGTGTAATGCTCCACGACAAACGAGCCACCACGGAGGAGGAGGAGGAGGAGGTCGCACCTTTCAAGAAGGAGCAAGTAGCTTTGGTACCTCGAACAAGCCTACGGCGGCGACAGGCCTGAGTAAGGATTTGGAGGAGTCGCTAAAAATGGTATGCTTGTATACCAACAGGAAGATTGAGAAACAGGAGAAACGCGAGGCGAAGATGAGAGAAGCAGAAGAAAGGAGGAAACGAGAAGAAGCAGAGAAAGCACTGAAAGAGGAGAAGAACCGTTTGGAGATTGCGAAGCAAAAAGCCAAGGATGACAAGGAGGCGAAGTGGGAATGGAAAATGGAGCAGCTATTAGCCAAGCACAAACAGACGCTGCGTGAAGAATTCAAGGTGATGTTCAAAAAACGATTGCGGAATGCCATCGTCTCTCAGAGAGCAGTGAAGGGAAAGGGCAAGATGGAATCCAGTGAGGATGAGGAGGAGGAAGAGATGGAGGACCGACTGGAGAAGAGGAAGCGCCAACCAGCTGTATCATGTATGATTAATCCTCCGGAGGAATCCCCATCGAAGGTGGGGAAAGCCTCCACGTCGGTACATCGAGGAGCTCCCGAGGAGCCGTCTCCAAGACTGGGTGTCCCGAGAAGAAGGAGCAGAGTGGATGGCGAGAGGGAGAGGACGTATCCTTACGTGGACTCCCCGCTATGGGAGGGCGCCCCCTCAGCTGATGAGTATACGACAACAGTGGCGTTTAGGAAAGCGATCCAAAAATTTCTTGGCAAGAAACTGAAACCTACGATTGAGGAGATGTGCCGCGAAGTTGGCGTTGTGTATCGCGGCAGACCCGAGGCAGTGGACGAACTGGTGGAAATCAGAGTTATGTACTTCAGCATCGATGGAAATCAACCTCCAGCAGTAGCACCAAGACAAACAACTCCGAGGCAGCGAGGTGGCGGAGTAGTCATTAGAGAAGTACGGGAGACCTTGCGCGGACTATCGCCAGACCCGCCAGCTGACGTGCCTGCCCAAGGAGGTAATGACTCCCGTAATAACGGATCGGTGGAATGAACTTCGAAAGTGCCTACAGTTATGTAGGTTATTTAATGTAGATCCTAATATTGGGACCAAGAGGCTACGTGAGGTGCTGGAATGTGTTGAGGTATTTATTTCTCCTATTAGTGTTGAAACGTGAAGTCCAGTAGGGTAATAAGTACGTGGAAACATGGTGTAGTTTAGTTGAAAACGACGTGGAGAAGTGGGATAGTCCGGGATGTTGCGTCTATATGTTGATTAACCTAGTGAGGGCGGTGTATATTGGGCAAACGAATCGGAAATTGAGTATTCGATGGGATGAGCATGTTAGTAGAGCAAAGACGCAGGGGAGTAATCGGAATTCCAAGCTGTATAGTTGGTTGAGATACAAGGGCTCCGATAATTACGTGGCTCTACCTCTAGCTTTCGTCCCGACGAATGATCTTGAGAGAGTGGAGAAGGTCTTCGTAGGTAAATGGTCTCAATGCTTGAACTCGAAAGGGATTAAGAGGAAAAAGGGTGGGAAGGGTGGAAAAAGTCGGAAAGGGCGAAAGGAAAGGAAACGGGCACGCTCGCGGAAATCTAGGAACAAGCAACCTCTTGTGTTTTCCATAGAGGGTTTGAGGACGGTCAAGTTAATCGATGTATGTAAAACAGCATGGAAAGGGGATAAGCATTTTCGATCAGAAGGAGGGACATTATGGGGTCAGAGATGGGATGTCGTTGTGAAGGAAGTGGGTAGAAGTAGGATTACGGGCAATGGGAGGATTATGTTTGTCAAAGATGCTCGGAAGAATCTTGAACAAGGGGGAGTTTTCGAGGTCGTGAAGTTGGAAGGGAGAACTTTGTCCAATGAGAAGGCCGACCTGAAACGAGAGTGCATCAGATCATTCGTAACAAATGGTATAACATCCCGATGGCCTGGTTTCCCCAAAACGGCCTGTGCTCCACGAAGATGTCGTAAAACATCCCGATGGCCTGAGGTGGGAAGTGGTCTACCCAAACTGTTACTGAGTCCGCCAAGTCTTGTGCCCTATAAAGGCTCCCAAAGATGAGGTCTACCATAAATCGGGGGACCTGACATCTTAGCGGGGTTACTGGTGCACTAAACCCTCGCCAGCTCCCCACTTCCACCCGGGTTTGTAAACCCATGTTCCTCCTGCCCCAGATTGCTTGCCATATCCACGTTAGTACCTGAGCGACCCTCCGAAAGACAGGAGCTAGCTCGTGACCCTGTTCGCAGGCAGGGAGGCTTGAGTTCCTTCCATCCTCCCATCACGATCCTACTATTGACCTCATCCCACCCTTTGTTGGCGAACCTCTCGCCTTCCTTTCGGGTCCTTGCCTCTGCATTTCCGAGAAGCCACATCGGATCATGTCCTGCTGCTAGCGTAGTGCAAGATAAGTGTCACCCCCTCTCGAAAAGAACGATCGTTCCGATGGATTCCACTTTTTCTTCTGCTATCTCGTCCCATCCTTCCTCTTCCCTTATTGGGTTCAAGATCCGCTCTATCCAGAGGTACGATAGTTTCGGGGCCACTTCGAATCCAACCCAATCGCACGTGGTTCCTCTCCATTCATTTTCCGTTGGTATAGGCATTTCTACCCCCCCTCTGAGTCACCTTGGCTCCCATGCTTTGAAAGTGCAGTCCATCAACAGTTGCTTTCTAGCCATCATCTCTTCCTACACAGCGTCGATCACTCATAAAGTTCCTCTCCTTAGAAATCCCAATCCTCTATCTCATCCCCTTCATCGTCGTCACTGAGGTCATCCTCTTCGTCGTAAAACAATTCCCTCACCCCTTCCATGAAAGTCTCCCCTACGACCACATTTCTGTAAACTATCCCCCAATCTATCGGGCTAGGGACATAGACATTGTCTGTGCTAAGGCAGCTCAATATCTCGGCCAGTTCCCTCACCCAACTTCCTTCGAAGGGCCCCATTTCTACCAACAGCCGCAAGAAGTACTGCCTGGAACACTGGTACAACCCAAGGTTCGTCATGGACTGGCATATTTGTACCAACCTACTCCGGATCTCGAAGACCGCGTCCACCAGAAAATGAGGTAGCACACATCTCATTGTTCTGACGGGCCATCTCACATTCCCCCTATCCTCGAGCTCCACTCGCACATCTACCCTCGCCATTTCCATCTTCGTCCGCTGACATGCGACCCATACAACCTCCCTTTCTGCCTTCCTTCGTCTGGGGCGGTCCCTAGTACCATGTCCACGACCCTAGCATTTTCCTCATCCTGGAATAAGTAGACCCACCCTCGAGCTTCCACTGTCCCACGGAATTCCAAATCCATCAAGCTCGGCGACAACCTCGTCAGACTGACCTTAGTCCATATTATCTCTATCCAGAGGAACACGTCCTCCTCGTCCAACATTATAGTTTGATAGGCTGGCTCTAGGTTGGTCCATGTTCCTTCTTCCGGGAGGACGACCAATGCCCCGTCCTTTACATCTACCGGCATTTCCGAGCCGCTGTAATAAATTGGACATGATAGCCACCGCACCATCTTGTTTTCCAACACCTGATTCCTGTTTCCATAAATGAGCATCGAATGACCCCTCTGGTCAGGCCAATCTACATCCTGGATGAAAATTATTTTAGACCCCTCATCACGGTCTCCCTAATCTACCTCCCCATTACCAAGTACCACCCTTCCATAGCACCTTTGGTCGACCATCGTATCCTACATTCCTTCTTTTGGTTCCATTCCAGGCTGACCTCTATCCTCCTTCCTTTCAATCATCTCTCACTCGTGTAGACTTGGGCAGGGTGGTGGGAATAGACTAGAATCATAGCCTCGTCCAACAACTAAGACCTCAGCCAACCTTTACAGAGGGGGAATACAAAAAAAAAAAGAATTTACGCAATCTCACATACAGACCGGTCATCTCCCCACCGACATTCCCAATGTGGTCTCTCCGCTGGTACTTTCAGTAGAGTTTTATCCCATACCTCAAGCGCAGCTCAACCGTCGCGCCGGAAATACCCCATCCCGTTTTTTCGCTCTTGCATACCCCCGTTGGCACCAGGAATCACCCCACGCACCCCGTTAGGAGTAAAGGTCAGTCGTCCGAGCATTCACTTCCACCGGTCCGATAAGAATCAGCCTTTCCCCCGCCGTACTACGAGAGACTACTAATTGTCTTCGAGGCTTCCTCCTTGCCCCACATGCAGCGGTCCTCCTCCATCTCCCGACAAGCAGCCGCCCCGCCTGAGGAGACGTTTCGCATCCCGCCTGCGCAAGGTGTTGAGCCATGCTTGGTCCGCCCAGAGGGAGTGCTACTAATCAACCAACGAGACCAATTCCTGCTTGACAGCCCGGTGGCCCAACCTCCCACACATGAGACCCGGCGACACTACAATAGAAACAACTTTTTGCAACCCACCCAGCCGGTTCAGACCCATCCTTTCCTTTCGAAAGGCAGGACGCTCAGTTTCCCCTCATGTAGATCACAAGTCCCAAGTGGGGTACACATAATACAAGTGCCTTTCCCTTGGTGCACCCAGCGCTTCTTACCCATACCTCATGGTTTTCTCTCAGGATAATGAGTGTCACTCCCCTTACTTCCATACACAGTGGTTGGTTCCTTGTCATGAACATCTTCAAGGGTGAGCTAGTTTTCTTAGGAGTCTAGCAACTCCCTTCATTCCCTTTATTTTCATTTGTCCGTCCTTTCATAGGGTAGGATTGCTCCTTCTTGATGACCTATTGTGTTCATGTAGGTTCCTTCAAGCATCTCAAGTGTATAGTGCATGAGCCCACAGGGCTCAGAAGAGGAGAGAAGAAAAGCACCCGGCTGGTCGGATCACTCCGCAACGGGATTTTCATTGGACCCCGACCGAAGTCGAAGCACCAACCGCCTGCCAGATAATCGGAGCCCTTCTTTCATACGAAGAGGAAGGGTCGACCTGCGACTTGCCCGAAGCTTCTCAAGACTGGCGAACATCAGCACCGGAGGAGGGGGGCTAGAGCTACTCCACAAAGGAGCGAGCTTATCAAGTGTGCAGCATGCATGTTATACCTCCAGGCCTGGCTATGTCATGCGCCCAACCACTCTCAAATTTGATTTTCTCAAAGGGAAGAGCGAACTCAAGTTGAATTTTCTTCTCTTTCGTTGTGTACATGGTCACGCGTAGGGCGCCCCCTTCGGAATCGCAAGGGTCAGCTTAACCCTATGCCCGTCACCTCCACCATTTTTTGTAGAGCCTCACCCTGTTAGACTTTCGAGCCTGCGTTGACCCCACTGCGGGTCCAGTTGGCTCTGCTCCGCCCACACTCATGCTTAGGGTGAGGAACGTTCGTCACAGGGACACCCCCACCTGGTGCTTTGAGATGGATGAGGGTGGGTCATTTTGCGAGAGAACTTTGACATTGGGGATGTAGCTCCGCTCTCTCACTGGATGGTAGCCTCACCAATATTTTCGTCACACACGATTTCCTTGATACTTTGAGGTGTTATCATGCAATAGCTTTTTCCATTACTAAAGCAGTCCAGGGAGTTTATTCAGAGTTTCTCTTCTTCTATGTGTAGGCCAAGCGTCATCCTTGGGTCACGCATCCATTCACTAAGCGGAGAGTCCCTAAAGCCTTATCGAGGCGGCGGCCGCCCTTCGGCTCGGGCCCGCAGACCACGTCTCGCAGTCCCCGTACGCCTCCCTAGGGCTTTGTCGGTTTCCTTCCTTGGTCAACCTATGCGTAACTTTCGCTGTCACATACATCATGCATGTCTTTCCTTTGTCCAGCCTTTGCATTTGTCTTATACACCCCTTAGTCTTTTCGGGGCCCCATCCCGCATGTACGCACAAATTTTTTGTTTTAATGTAGGCGGTCTTTGTCGTTTGGTATAGCCGACTTTGCTTTGCACAAACATGCTTCATAACTTATTCAAGGGCAAGGGTTAAGTCCACAACCCGTTTGACCTCAGTCTCACTTTCTCTTTGCCGCCCAGCATACCCGGGACCCAATCCCGCTCAATGACCCTTTAGGTTACTCACCTACACATTCAACACAATTTATGCAAAGCATCCCCCACATGGGGTCAACACATAATCCCTCCCGCAAGCCTAAGTTCACTTTTCCTTAGCTCTTTGTGTTTCCCTTTT